TTTTAAAAAAAAAAAAAGAAAAAGCGACCTAGTTTTATATATTTAGCGTTTTTCTCGAGAAGCTTACGTGAAATCTTGAAATAACACGTTTTTTTACGCTATTTTGCGCTACATTTCTGCAACAATATTTAAACAATAAATATTAAAAAAAAAAAAAACTTAATTTTTAAGGATTAGAGCTATGTTATTAAATGACCTAAAAACTACAAATTTTGATAACAATTTCAAATTAAAAGTTTAAAAATAGTCTTAAGTTGAATAGTGCAATAAATATATATATTGATTTGTGTCTATTGTATCATTATGTTTTTTGGTATTTGACATTTAAATTTAAGAATAAAAGTTCTGATCTAGTAGTTAGAATTAAATTGTGATCGAATTAAAAAAATTAATTACAATGTCTATGCTTAAAATTAAATTGTGAATTATCTTATTATGTTTTTCGTTGTTTGTTTCTACTTTTAGGATATTCATTTTATTATTTAAATATTTATATTATGATATTTACATTAAACATTCGTAAAAACTAATTCTTAGATGTCATTTTGAGTTCATTCAAATATTATGATAATTTTTACAATCAACTATCCAGGTTTATTATATGCAAGTACATATATAATATTTCTATAAAAATATTTTTTATACTCAAATAGTTTACGCAACATGCAACGTTATTTACGCTACACAATATAAAGAACAAAATATGACATATTACGCTATACGCATTTTAAAACTTTGAGCTTAATATGTAACACAACTCATCAGTCTGAGTATTAATCCTGCATATTATATAATTCAGGTGCACAATGCTTCTTAATTATTATTTGAACCTGTTTAAAATGTGTGGACTATCTCCATCCATCACTAACATCTCCAATGGTAGAAGTAAATTGTAGTCTATACTCTATACTAGTACAGAGCCCGTGCGATGCAGGGGGTGTACAATTTTAAGGTCATGAGTCTTATAATTATATAAATGAATTACAAAAAAAATGTACTGGATATATATAGTACGTGACCTATAATAGGCCAAAATGTGAACACGGGTGATGCACGAAGTGCACAATTTTAATTTTATTTATTAGTACAGAGCTCGTGCGATGCACGGGGTGCACAATTTTATAGTATGTGTAATAAAAATACATACTGTATGCACGGGACAGAAGCACTAAATGAGTCATTTTCACATAGCTTGTCCGTTAGGTAGCTCCTGCACAGAGCTTGTCCGTTAAGTAGCTCCTGAACAGAAGCACTAAATGAGTCATTTCCACAAAGCTTGTCAGTTTAGTAGCTCCTGAACACGGGTGCACAATTTGTAGTACGTACCATAAAATCAGAACAGATTTCCATACATCTAGATAATAAATTAGATAATAAATAAAGCTTTTTTATTTTCGTAAAGATTTTACGAACTTTGTTTTTTTACTTATGGGATGTTATGAGATTTATTTTGTTAAACCGATTTTATTGAATATAATACAAATACAATTAGAGGATTGAACAAAATTAGAGCAAATTTTCATACAATTAGATAATAAAAAGGAATTGGATAAGGAAAAGAAGGAAATAGATAAGAAAAAGAAAGAATTAGATAAAGAATTTTGAATCTGAATTTTTTTTAAGTATAGATAGACTTTACGTACAAATTTTGAATTCACTGATTTTATGGAATTTGTTTTGACAAAATCGATGTTAATATGGAATAAGACAAATAAATAAAGTCTTTTTATTTTAGTAAAGAGTTTACGTCTTTTTTTTTTTTACTTGTCAGATGCTATGGGATTTTTTTTCTTAAACTGATTTTATGGGATATAAGATAAATAAATAAAATTCTGGGTAGAAATAGCAATGCATTAATTACATTGACTTTTCAACCTACTAAATTTGGTAAATAGGATACCTTATATAATAAGTATAGATATACAAATAAATAATGCTAAAATTTTAAAGAATAATTAATGTATTTAAATTTATTATCTAGCCATCGGTAATATTATTTAATGATGTGATTATTATCTCTTAAATGATAAATAAAATATTAATTTAAAACAATATATTTGTTTTTTATATACTCAAATAAAAATTTAAAAATAATATCGTCAAATATGAATTATAATATATATATATATAAGTAAAATTATTGCAGAAGTTAATAAAATTATTTAAGGAAATAATCTTTTTGATCATATTTAAATAGGAAATATGTATATGCAAACAATTAATGCATATAGTAAAAAATTTCCAAATAAAGTATGCATTAAATGTGAGTTGACTTTTCTTGCTACTATTTTTGGTAAATAGTATGCTTTTAATATAAGTATAGATGGCAAATTCAAAGCATCTCCAATTGTCTTTCTTTTACTCTATTAATTTGTTTGTTACATAACACAAATGATTCTATGTGGCATGAAAAATCTCTAGAAGCCTTTCTAGATATAGACGTCATTTTCAACAACTTCTACCATATATTATATTATTTATCTTTATTTTCTAACCAATTACAATTTTACACATTACGAATGACACCACAATTAATACATCATTCGGGACATTGTTTTTTAGTTTTCTTTCTCCATATCATGCAAACGAAATGAGTAATCTTCCATTAGAAATGCTCTAATAGATAGCCTTCTACCCACGTGGTAGGAATAGACAAGCATATTTTTTTTTTGGTACAAAAATAGACTAGCATATTGATAAATAACTCTCAAATGTTAAATGTGTTTTTTTTTTTCTTTTGTTCTAAAAAAAAATAAATAAAAAAAAAATTGCAGGGAGAATGTTGAACAACCTTTGAACCAACATGAAAACAAAATATTTTTGGTAAATATCTACGCATGGTAAATGTTGGTTTTTTTCATTTTGT